TTTGTGTAATGAAATCAGTAATCATCTACTATAATGAATAATTCGTTAACGCTATAACAAATTATTCGTTATACATATCACATAATTCGTTATAGTGTTAACGAAGATTCTTATAATGAAGTCCTGATCAGCTGGATCAGCAACTTCGTTATATCGAGGTGTGACTGTAAAAGTGAATTATTAATAGTTTATTCAAATAAAAGTTTATATTTAGGAAAAGTTATCATAATATATAAAAATTGTGAATAATAATATATATGAGTTGAAAAACTAATAAGCTTTTTAAATTATTTATCATATATTTCTATTAAAGTTTATATACAAATATCATATCATTTTTTCATGTAAAAATTCAGTAGAAAAAATATTACAATTTATATTACTTCATGAAAAATAGTTTATTTTAGTATATGTTTTATTTATTAAAGTAAATGATACTCTATAAAAAATTTGCATACGTTTTTTATTATTATAAATAGTATTCAGGCTGTATGACAAAGATATCAGTACCTTAACAGCCCAAAAAAAATTTGAGTTTTCAGCTGATATTTGATATGAACTAGATCTTACTACTCAAAATAAATGTGTGAACTTAAAGTATTTAAAGCCCGTAGAGGTATGCTCTAGTAAATCTGTTTAATCTATTATCTGATCTGATCAAAAAATAGATTATTTGAATTATAAATGAACAAATCATGGATAATTTAGATAAATCTATCAGATAATATCAGATTGATCAGATATTATACAGATAATCAAATTGATCAGATAATCCAGTTATTTTATTTTATTTTTTTTTTAATATTACTTTTTTTTTTATAAAAAAAACTTATCTTTTCTTCAGAAATGAATATAGACATAGACTTGAACTTCAGAATTTACTTGAATAGCTTGAATTAAAAGGTATGTTAGAATAGGAGTAAATTTAATTTTTTTTTAAAATATTACTAATATTCCTTTTCTTTCTTTTCTTTAGAAAATATCTTCTTAAATCTGAATTTTGGCTCAGATCATAAAGGTAAGTTAGGTGTAGATTTTTTTTTTATTTTTCTTTATCTTTCTTTGTCTTTGGAATGTCATTAACATTTTTTTGCTTTTTTCTTTAAGGAATGCCTTTCTGAACCTGGATTTTAGCTAGACTATAAAGGTAAGTTGGTATTTTTGTTTTTTCTTTATTATTGAAAATATTATTAATATTCCTTTTACTTAGACCTAAATTTTAACTTAGGTTATGAAAGTAAAGTAATGTGAGGGATTATTTTTATTTTTTTTATCTTTAAAATACTATTAACATTCTTTTGCTTATTTTCTTATATGCTTTTTTTGTTTTTCTTTGTTTTTGAAATATTATTAATATTCTTATCACTTTTTTCTTTAAAGGACGCCTTTCTAGACCTGGATTTTAGCTTGACTATAAAAGTAAGTTGATGTATGAATTGTTTTTATTTTTCTTTGAATATTAATATCACTAGTAGTGATAGTGACATTGGCAGTATTAGCAGTAACATTAGCTTTTTTGTATTGGTAGTGATACTAACATTAGTATTAGTATTGGTAGTAATGCTAATATTAGTGCTAGTATTAGTTGTAATAGTAGCATTAGCTTTGACATTAGCATTAGCATTGGTGCTGATATTGCATTATCATTATCTAAAATATAAATAATAATTATTAACTTATAATTTTTTAAAAAAATTTATATTAAATAAATATTTTATTATTAATTTTAAGATTTTTACTTTCACAGTGGTCTCCTATTAGATGATAGGCAATTTTTTACTATATGACTACTAATATTTAAAATAATGATTCTGATATCTTTGTAAAATATTGAAACATTGACTAACCTAATAACCTAACCTATTATAATAGCAATAAGTATTTGATAAACTAAAATAATTTCAAAAATGATTATAAATAATTTAAAATTATAATGATAATGTAAATTAATTAAATATTATTATTTATCTTATTGATTGATTTAATCGTACTGATAGTAATAGTAGTTATGGTAGTTGTAATGTTTGTGATAGTTGTGATAGTTATAGTAGTTGTAGTAATAGTAGTGATAGTAGTGGTTATAGTAGTTATAATAATAGTATTGCACTTGTAATTGTTAATATAGATGATAATAATAATGATAGTGATGAAGGGAAAGGAAAAGGTTTATTGCCATTATCAAAAATGTTGACAATCATATAATATTGATCATTTTATGAATCGAACATACTAAACACACTGAACACATACTAAATACATTTATATTACATATATTACCTAATATTATACAAGCAAATATGTTGTATAAATAACATTTTATAATAATTAATGCAAAATAATTTTAACGTGAATATAATTTTATTTACTACTTAGCAACAATATCTAATATAAAAATAAGAATATATACTATATGTTTATGTTATCTTTATCAATTGTATTTATATTATAATAAAAACTATAGTGACAAAAAATGTAAATGCAAAAAAAGAAATACCAGAAAATAAAAAAGGTCACCTAAAAAAATATTATACTCACACCTTTAATTCTAATAAACCTGACAAAAAAACTATATAATTATTGGTAATTAAATAAGTTAACGTGTAAAAATGAATATTATGAATATAATATAATCTTTTCTGAAGAGTTTAATTTTTCTTTGTGTTTTAAATATTATAACAAATTTAATCACCTAAGTAAAAGAAAAACAAAGCATAAGAAAAATCAGTTGAAATTATAGATATAGAATATTCTTCCTTATCTAAAACATCATCATTTAATGTGACAACTGCAAAAGATATAACATTAACTTCAAATACAAATATGACATTAAATACAGCAGATACAGCATTAATAGCAGCAAATACAATATCAGATGCAGATGTAAATGTGATACTAACTGCAGATATAAAACTATATACACTTGAATTAAAAAATTAAGATTCTTTATGTGAATCTTTTTTACTCAAATTAAAATTTAAATTAATTCTTAAATTTTTAGATAGAAAATGCTATTCAGCTAAATGAAAGCATATTATTGTAGAAGATTTTTATAGTTTTAAAGATAATTTGGAAAATCTAGTACAATTACAATTTGTGAATCAAGTTATTTTTTATAATAATTATATTGTATCATATAAATATGAAAAGGATGGTACAACTAACATGTACAAGTAATTAGACAGAATTTTTAAAGAAATATAATCATAACAATAAAAAGATAATAGTAGTTATTATTACAATGAAAAGGAAAGCTAATAAGAGAGTTCAATTTAGGTAAATATTTTATTTTTATTTTTTGAATCTTTATTATTATAGCTAAAAATTTATTTATATTTAGTAATGATCAAATAATTGATGAAGAAATTAATAACAATAAAAAAAGAAAAAATTAAACTATAATGATAAAAGAAAAAAACTTCAAATCAAATTTCAAAAGAAAAAAATAATAATGAAGCAGATGTTAAAATTGCAAAAATTGTTATAGAGTTGTATTCTAAATGGTACTATATAGAGCATGATAGAAGCTATTATATTAATTTAATAAGGTATATTATTTCTATAACAAATTATTTATCTATATAGACTAAGTCAATTGTAAATTAACACATAATATTCTCAATAATTTAACATTGTAATCATAATATTCATGATCTATTTAGGATTTTTATTTCATAAATTACTTATTTATCTAAATTTTATTTATAGAATTATAATTTGGCTACTTTAAACAAACCTTTAACTAAAGCTCCAAACAGTTTGGATTAATCTGAAAATTTTCAGTTCAGATCAACTTCAGTTTGATTTCAGATTGCAAAAATTTCAATCTGAAAATTTTCAGTTCAGTTCAGATTTTTACAGATTATAAATCTAATCTGAACTGAAAAAAATCTGAATTGAACTGAAAATTTCAGATTAATCTGAAATTTCGGATCGTTTGGAATGATTAAATTTATCATTCCTTTGGAACAATTGAAGTTATCATTCAAAATGAACGATAAAAGAATCATTCATTTGGAATGATTGAAGTTATCATTCTAAACGAATGATAAGAAAATCATTCAATTGGAATGATGAAATTATCATTTTAAATGAACAATAAAAGAATCATTTATTTGGAATGATTGAAGTTATTGTTCTAAACGAATAATAAGAAAATCATTCAATTGGAACGATTAAATTATCGTTCCAAATGAATGATAAAAAAATTGTTCAACTGGAACGATTAAATTATGATTTCAAATGAATGATAAAAGAATCGTTCATTTGGAATGATTAAAGTTATCATTCCAAATGAACGATAAGAAAATCATTTAATTGAAATAATGAAATTATCATTTTAAACGAACAATAAAAGGATCATTCATTTGGAATGATTAAAGTTATCATTCCAAATAAACGATAAAAGAATGTTCAATTAGAACGATTAAATTATCATTTCAAATAATCTGAAATTTTGGATTAATCTGAAATTTTCAGTTCAGTTCAGATTTTTACCAGTTTACGGTTCAGTTCAGTTTTGGATTGGCATTTTTAAGATTTATAATCTGAACTGAACTGAACCAAAATTTTTGGTTTAGTTTCAGATTGACCTATAATCTAGACTGAACTAAACCGTTCAGAGCATTACCTCCAATGTTGCCATTATTTGATGCTACATATTCAGTAAAAAGAACAAATAATAATTTACAAAATTCAAATATTTAAAATTCTAATATTCAAAATCTAAATTTCTTTTATTCTCCTTCTTCTGCTACATCCTCATCTTTTATTGTTATACTTTTTTCAATTTATTATCCTGGTATGTTTAATCAATAAAATTTATAGCCATCTCAGCCAACATATATGTTAAATAATAATTTGCAAATATCACAAACAAATAATATAATTTCTATTCTGTCAATTGATGAATTTTTTAATAAATTAGAAGAGAAATTTAGTGAGAATACTTTTGAAGGAATTAAAGACAAATTTACAAAAGAAACAATCGATATTTTAGATATATTTAATCTTAAAGAAGCTGTTTAGCAGGATTTAGAAATAAAAATTAGCGTAAAGACTAAAATTATTAAAGAAGCTAAAAGATATAGAAAATAATTGTATAAATTTTTTCTTTTTTTGTAATATTTATAATTTAATGATAATAGTAATTACTAATAAATAGTAATAATAATTTTATTTTATAATATACCAATTTATTTTTTTTTAAAAAAAAATCAGAAATATAATGATTTTTGTAAAAAAGATCATGACATAATAGTAGTAATTTGTACATATGCTATTGTTAAGGCAAAATAAGAATCTGAATAATTTTCTATATAATTCCTATTTTTTTTAACCAATTTTTAATTAAAGAGAATGCAGTCTCAATAGGATTTAAATCAGATGAGTATGGTGAAAGAAATAAAATTTTACACTCAACAGATTCTATAAAATTAATCAAAAATTTATTATGACAGATCTAAGCATTGTCTATTACTTATACATTATTATTTTGAGAAAATGGGTTCATATTTGAAAGCTATTATAAAAATTATATATGCATGTATATACAAACATATAATACAAATTTATTAGTTTATATTATATAATTAAGATTTCTAAACACAAAAATTAAACTTATTAAACTTATTACTTTAGCCAAAATAAAATTATAAAATTGTTCTTTATCACAACTTCTTTGCATAATATTTAATGCAATAATACTATCTAATGATATTGTTGAAAATAATGTATAACGCATTTCTCTAATAAATATAACTTATTTTATTGCTTTTTAATTTCATAGAGAATAACTATATTGTTTACAAAATGTATACTCATCTGCAGTTTCATCCAAAAAAATAAGTTGTTTAAGTTAAAAATATGATCTAACAGTTATTATATAATAATCACATAAAATTTTACTCCTTTCTTTTACATATTTTTCTAACTTTACATTAAATTATAAATAAAATTGTTAATATTATTAATATTTAAAGTAATATATATAATAAGATTTTTATATAAACCTTTTTATGTGTAATATCACAAAATTTCAAAGAACATCAAATTATCATAACTGATATCCTCTTTCCTATTCTTCTTAATATTTCAATAACTATTTTATCTAAATACTATTAGGGTTATCTTTAACTATTCCTATTAAATCCTTAAAACAAAATAATTTTAATAATATGTTAAATTATAAGAAAATATTCAAAAATTAAAAAAATTAAAATACAAACTTTTAAATCTGAATTACTAAATATTTTTTTTCGTCCTTTTGGTTCTTGTATTAAATTTTTAATATCTTTTTATAATATATAATAATTCAAAACTCTATATATTATTTTTTTACTTATATAAAACAAATTAGAGATTTGTTTTAAAGAATAACCATTATTCCATTAAATACATAACTTTCCATTTAAATCTTCGCAATATTTTTTTGATATATTCTAAAACTTTTTAATATATTTTCAAATAATTTTATATATAATTAGTAAAAATTTTAACTGGTATTATAAAAAAATAGAGAAAATATTTTTGAAATAAAAATTTATTTATTTGATGTGTATTTTTCATGTTTTAGTTTTGTATTCAGTCTATATTTAGTATGTTCAGTGTATTTAATTTGTAAAATAATCAATATTATATTGTTAATATTTCTGATAATGGCAATAAATAATTGTAAAGATCGTGAAAACTGTAAATGAAATGATTGTAAAAAATATAATTGTGAAGGGAGAAAAGAAATTTTTAAAATTTATTTCTTTTAAATAAAATTTTAAGAAATTAAAAGATGTTTAATTTTTTATCAAGGAAATCTAAAGATTAAAAAAATACTTACATAATATTAGAATAATTTTGTATCTATATGACCAAATGTAACTAAAAAATATACTATAGAAAAGAATCACTTAACTGATAAATTTCAATAAGAAAAATAAGTCTTTGATTAATTTTAAAAATAAATTTTAATTTTTTGATAATACAATACATAGATTTATGATGAGTATTTTTGCATGTTTAGATTTACTTTAAGAAGAAATAAGTCTTAATTATTTTATTAATTTTTTAATAATGCAATACATAGATTTATATTGGTATTTTTTGGATCCAGTTCATTTTACCGACAAACATTTTACTGACAATCATTTTACTAACACACACATTTTACCGACAGGATCATTTTACTGACAAATATTTCACCGATGATCATTTTCCTAATACAATAATTTTACTGACATGTTTATTTCACTGACAAACATTTTACTGACATGATCATTTCGTCGACAGTTGATTTTTTTTTATAAAATTTTAAATTATAAATTAATCATTAATAAAAAAATAAAATAAAATAAAACTTTTTATATTTTAAAGAAAATTTAGAAAAATTTTGATTATAATAATAAAAAAAAAGAAGAAAATTTTCAATTTGGCGATCATATGTTATGTAAACAAGATGTAATTGTTTGAGATATAAATAGAAATTTATATTGCCACATACTAACTAATATTGATCAAAATTCTTCGAAAAAATTTTTTGTTCTTGTCCTTTTGTTTTACTGCGGGTAATTAATACAATAAATACAAAATTTTTTTTTGGAACGGTAAAATGATCGTCAGTAAAATGATCGTTGGTAAAATGTTTGTCGGTGAAATGATTGTGTCAGGAAAATGATCATCGGTAAAACAGTTGTTGGTGAAATGATCCTGTCTATGAAATGTTTGTCAGTAAAATAATTGTCGGTAAAATAATTGTCAGTAAAATGGTTGTCGGTGAAATGAATGCGACCCTATTTTTTTGTATAATCAAATTTACTTTGAGAAGAAACAAGACTTGAATATTTTAAAATAAATTTTGATTTTTGATAATGCAATGCATAAATTTACAATGAAACTTTTGCATGATTAAATGTACTTTGAAAAAAAATAAGTTTTGATTATTTAAAATA